ATCTTTTTCTAGGCTATTGCTTAGAATTGTTTGGAGTGCTGGTTTGGTGTTCATGAAATTTCTCAGGTGTTCTTTGTCATGAAAGTATTTAATTTCCTCATCGATTTTGAAAGATAATTTTGCAGGATACAACAGTCTAGGTTGGAAGTCATTTTCTTTTAGGGCTTGAAATACTTTACTCCAGGCTCTCCTTGGTTTGAGGGTTTGTGTTGAGAAGTCTGCTATGATTCTGATGGGCTTTCCTTTGTGTGTGGTTTGTTCCTTTTCTCTAACTGCTTGTAGAATTTTGTTCTTCTGTTGGGTTTCTGGGATCTTGACTATTATATGTATAGCTGTAGATTGTTTTTTTATCATGGCTAGTTGGAGTTCTATATGACTCACTTATCTGTACATCCAATTCTTCACCTCTGTCTGGGAAGTTTTCTACTATTACTTCTGGGAAGTTTTTTTTAATGTCAATTGTACTTTCTCCTGTTTTTTTGTGGACTCCTATTAGTCTTATGTTATTCTTCTTTGCATCATGTAGCAGCTGCTGGATTGATTTCTCAAGTTCCCTTACTATTTTTAAGAAATCTCTGTGTTCATGGTCCTTAACCGAAGTCCTGTCTTCTATATCTGATATTCTATCTTCACATTCTCTTAATCTGCTATGCATGCTTTCAATGGAGTTTTTAATCTCCTGAATATCTGTTTGAATCTGTTTCATGGATTCTGTTTCTTTCTTGTGCTGGGCATTCATGCCTTCTAGCATGGTTCTGAGCTCATCTATTTTTTTTATCTGTGTTCTAGAGCCTCTAATCATGTCTTTCGCTCTGCTCACCATCTCTGTAGTCATCTGGGAGAGTATTTCTGCTTTGAATTTTTCTAAAGCCTCATTCATCTGTTTTGTTTCTTCCTGTGCTATCAGTTCAGGGTGTCCAGGTGGTTGATTATCAGACTTTTCCTCCTTGTTTCCCCTAGAATTTGACTTTTGTGAGGTGGTAGTCTGAGTTTGTGGCTTGCTCATATGTCTTCTCATTTTTGTTTTTGGTACTGTCTTTGGTTTAGTTCCTGGGTTGGTACTTTGAAGTTGCTTATTGTAAGTATCTTTGTTGATGTATTTAGAACGCTTATGGAATGATCGCTTCTCAGAGGTGTTCCAGGTATAGCTGGTCTTTAGGTTTTAAGTCTCTAATGGCTCTGAGGCTATCTCATTTTCATTATACCAGGAAGGACAACTGATTAGATCAATAAGAACACCTTAGCCCAAGTGATACAATCAGCAACACCATAGCATCAAGTACCTCTTAGAAAATGATAATTTCTGGTAGTTATTAACCTATCACTTTTAATTGTGTGGATTAAATGAAGATCAAAAACCAACTCTACATATGTTTATAGTGAATAATCTCTTTAATATAGCAACTTTACCCTTCAGGATGGGGAGTTAGATGGAGTTGGGGAGGGAGGAATAGGTAGGTAGAAGGATAAGGGAAGATTAGCAGTGAGGCCAGAGGGCACAGACAAGAGAAGGAAAGAGAAGAAAAGAAAAATAAAGAAGAAATCTGAATTAGGGCCAGAACAGGAACACAAAGGGAGATGAAGAACAATGTGGGACAGCAAGGGAGTGAGGGAGAGAGAGAAAGAAAAGAGAAAAAGAAAAAAGAAAAAGAAAAATTTTAAAAGAGTAGAAAAAGATAAAAAATAAGAGCAAAAAAATAGTGGTAATTTTGAAAATAACAAATAAAAGATAAAAATGAAGGGCCTCCTTCAGGGTATTTCTCTGCTGTCACAATAGACAATGTGGGCAGCTGTGTGCAGTTATACATCAATGAGTCTCACTAAGCCAGTCACAGACCCATGAGATTCAGGCAGATTTCTGGCTGCAAGTACCAGGGTGAGCTCCAGGACATCCTGGAGGTTTGAACTCTGCAAAGTTTTATTGCAGGTTCCAGCTGCCTTTTCCCTGAAGATAGTTCAGGTTCTGATGGGAGGTGATGATCACTCCAACTTACCAAGTATGGTGGTCTGGTGTGCCTTTATTGCAGAGATTCTCTTCACTTTTCCAGTGGGCTTCAGTTTTCATCAGGGAGCCTGAGAGAGGCCATCTCTCTGTTGTTTACTTCTGCAGCTCAGGCCAATGGCCTTTATGTCCCCTTGTGCCTCTGTAGTGTGGAATCAGGTAGCTGCACAGCCAAGAGGGCAGAGGCAGGGGTGGGGGTATGGGAGTGTGTATGGGATGTGTCTGTTGATGCAGGTGCCCTGGGGACTAAGCTGATGGCTGGCAGGTGTGCCCCAAATCTATTACTCAATTTGAAATTCTTTTTTTATTCTATTCTTTACTAAAATCTTTAATTTTTTATTCTAAATCACATGGTAGAATTTTAGCTCTTCTACATTTTGATCACTTCATTTTTCAGTATTCTTGTCTGCTCATTACAGATTAAAATCTTATAAAACTGGGGACACAAATTTTAAATTGTGTTTCCACTTACCCATGCTTTCCATATTTACTGGTTCCTCTTCTTCATTAGCTAAAATAAAATAAAATGATATCAAATTTTCATGTGTAAATCAAATATATCTCAGCTTATTATAATCTGTTACCAGACCTCAAAACATAAAATGTAAATGCAAATATATAATGAAGAGTTAAACTAGCTTATGAATACCTGCATGCAAATAATTTCTTTCTAAGGAAGTTATCAGTGAAATATTTGCTATGGCTTTTGTTATATGGCATTTAATTGATATTATAATGAAATGAATCAAAAGTAAAAATAAATTCCCAAATACTTAATTCTGCATGATTGGCTTTATGACAGTAAACATATTTCATTTAATTTGATACATAAAACAATAGCCATTTTGACTGCTGATATAACACATTAAATGAAAGATAATCCTACCAGGCAATGTTGATTTTTGTTTCTTTTTGCCGGATGTTGACTTCTGGCCACTTACGGTCTTTCTTTGTGGGGATTTTGGAGCCATGGTTCTGACTTAATCTATATAAAGAGATACCATCATTAGTAAATTCTGGTTTACGATTTCAACTATTAAGCTTTATCATGTAGTGAACATAACAATGTGTTTTCTAGGTTTTGCCTGTACTAAACCAACATGCATTTTCAATAGGATGGGTATTCTGTGACCAGAGGTTTACTGTAGCCATGTTACTGAGAAGATCTCGTTCCAGCAGAACCATGCAGCGGAAGCACAAGATGGAGACCTGCCAAAATGTCAGGGTTTCACGGCAGGCCCCACCTTGGGAGCACAACAAAGGGCACTGGCCTCCCACCTCTCATTCTAGTTCCCATTTTAGGTGGTGGCTCTGTGCTGCCTTGTGCTGGACTCCCTGAAAGGTCCCCCAGTTACAAAGAGGAGTTTAAAGTCTTCCAGGAGAGACAGGGCCACAAAGTGCATACATATACACAATTTTTAAATTAACATAACTTAAGCTAGACTTTTGTCTTAGCATGTGTGCATGTAAGCACTAAGGCCTTGTTTGTGCTCTCAAAGGATGCCTCTGGAAGTATTGTCATTATTTTTGACAGGATGGAGGGCTAGCCAAAGTTGTCACCATGGCAGCAAGTCCCTGTGTTCCTGTGCAGAGGATGCCCACCTCTGCCCCAAGCTGTTTAATGGTTAGGGGCATGATTTCAGGAGTCTCACCAGCAAGGGTTTAAAAACAGGTGCTGCCGTTTGCCTGCTCAGTGACCCTGAACCAATTACTTATCTTTGAAGTCTCAGTTTATTCATGTGTTTAATGGGGATAATAATAAAATCCACCTTCTCAAGATGATTATAAAGACTTAATGAGATTAATAAAAATTTTATAAAACTAAATCACTTTAGACTGGCTTGCTTTATTTCAATAAATCATACAGATTCATCATTATTTCATAGTTCGTGCTCAAAATATCACAAATTTAAATATCTACCTAGCCCCTTGATTGTGAAAGTTTGACCAAAGTGTGGGTGCCTATGTGTTTGCCTAGAAATATTTTTTCTTCATGTTTTTCCCCCATGTATGTTTGCAAATGGTGACAGTGACAGCTTACAGTTGTAGAGAGCTTTCCTTGGGCCAGGTACAGCTCTAAAGGCACTTTTGCATGTATTCATAGTCACCTGAGTGGTCAGGTGACTTTGCTGAGAGGACACAGAGAGCCTTTGCAGCCCAGCTGCTGGGCCACACTTTTAACCTCTGCCCTCCACCCTGCCTGTCCTTCAAGTCCAGGGAAACTGGCTATGTTTCATTACAAGTGAAACTATTTAAAATTGAGCCTTTGTCTACACAGGTACAACTGATTATTTAATCAACATTTAATGACCACTTAAAAATTTCTGCTTTCAAAATACTCTGCAATGAGTGGCTCTCTCAACTTTTCAGACTGTGCCCTCCATCCCACTTCCCTTCTCAGCATAATTTCAGATATTAGCGCTAATCCTTCCTTTGGACAATTCCTTATCAATGTACTCCTCTCCATTTTCTATTCTAGCTGAATTTTACTTAAAAGATACACAAACACTCTGAACACCATCGAGCCTCACCCCCACCCCACGCTCACACACGGGTTCAATGAATCCTACCACCATCCCTGATCCTTCCACATACATCTATTGGCCAGAATGCACCAGAGACCATCCTAGTGTTAAGGCTACAGTGGTGAACAAAATAGGCCAAAAAAGTGCTTGTCCTGATAAAGCTGATATTTGGGGGGCACAGACAATGAAAAAACAAAGGAGCAAAATAATTAGTGTTCAGATATTTAGATGTGATAGTTACTAAGAAAGGGAATAAAGTAGGAAGAGGAGAGGAATTGTAGGTTATGATTTTACACTGAATGACACAAGTATTATAAATAACAGGACAAAGACCTCAGAGAATGGGAAGACAAAAATGCAGACATCTGGGGAAGGCCAAAAGTTTCTAGGCAGAGGGAACTATGTGTCAAGTGTCAGGGGTAAAAGTCCACCTGGCACATTTAATAAAACAGCCAGTAGTCATGATGGCTGGAGCAGAGCAAGCAACAGGAAGACTAGAAATGAAGGTAGTTGGAGAGGTGATTGGGATATAATAGTCAGCTTTGCTGCAGTAACAAATGGCCCCCAAATCTCAGTCTCATACAACATTTGTTTCTTCTCATGTATGTATTATGGCTGCAGATCAGCTGCTGCAAGTCCTCTTATTCCAGAGCTGATGGTGAAGGAGCAGCCCTGACATGGCCTATGCCACTTTCATGGTAGAGAAAAGAGCAAGAGACCTAAAGGAACCACATGATGCTTACTAAGTCTTCTTGGCATTGGTCCGCTGTTCCTTCGGCTCACATTCTATTGGCCCAAGCATGTCATACAGTCAATCCTGAGACGGGGGAAGAATACTTTGCCTTCACGGTAGCAAGTGGGACTTTCTTACAGGAAGGGAGTAATAGTTGAGAATAATGTAGCAGGGAACAATTTACAACATATCAGAAGGTGGTGTAGAAGAACTATGGCTTTCACTCTGAAGGATGTGGGGAGCTATTGGATGTCTTTGAGCTGAGGAGCTACTTTACACAACCTGACTCAGCATGTGTGTGTGTGTGTGTGTGTGTGTTTTACTGGGGGTGAATCCATGGCTCATACTGAGCTAAATCCTCATCCCTTTCTAATTTTTTGGTTTGAGACAAGGAGGTCTCATTAAGTTGTGTAGGCAGGCCTCAAACTTGCAATTCTCCTGCCTTAGCCTCCTGTGCAGCTGAGATCACAGGCATGTGCTCACTCCTGGACTGATGGACATTTTTAATGATCAGTAGGTGCACTATGTTGTGAAAAGACTGCAGCAAGAAAAGGAATGAAGCAAGGAATCTGATGAAGAGCCATTCAAAAACCTGTAGGGGGGGTTGGGGATCTGGCTCCGTGGTTCTGCTGCCTGCCTCGCAAGCACAAGGTCCCAAGTTTGATCCCTGATACCAAATAACAAAACAAAACAAAATAAAAAAACAAAACCAAAAATAAAAACCTGTAGGAGAGATGATGGCAGACTAGGTCAGGAAGAGCTAATGGATGCAAAAAATGACTGGAGCTGAGTGTGGTGGTGCATGTCTGTAGCCCTAGCTATTCGCAGGTTGAGGCAGGAGGATTGCTTGAGACTAGGAGTTCAGGGCCAGCCTGGACAATGGGACTCCATCTCTCAAAATATGACTGGATTCTAGATACAGAGCTAATAGGATTTGTTGCTGACTTAGATGTAGGGCCTGAGAGGAGCAGATCAAGGTGAATTTTGCCTAAGGAATGGAAAGCATGGGGTTGCTATTAATTAAGCTGTGGTCCTATGAGAAAAGCATACTTGAAAGGGAAACTCAGGAGTTTAATTCAGGGCATGTGAAGTTAGAGTCTGTGAACTGTGAAGACAGGAATTATGTTTTCACTTCCATTAACATAACCGTTATAAGTGGCACAGTGAACATACTAAAAACTTGTTTTCCTAAAGTTGAACTAATGGCTGTCTAGTTTTTTATTCCCTTCTGCCATTCTTTGTGAATCTCCTATCTGAACAAAAGGCTTTTTGCCTAATGGTTTGTGGAATTCTCTTCAACATCAGTGCAAGTGGGAGTGGGTCCTTCTCTGGGACTATACGCTAACCTCCCCTTCTTCCCCCTCTTCCAGTTATAAGGGTGCCTTTGATTACATTGGCCTCACCTAGATAATCCAGGATAATCTCCTTATATATCATCAGCTGATTGGCAACTTTAATTCCATCTGCAATCTTAATCCTCTTTGCCATGGATACCGACAAATTCACAGGTTCCAGCGATCAAGAGATGCTACCTTAATATTAAGCTTGAGTATAGGTAACAGTTTAACACGGGCATCCCCCCCAAAACACAAAGTCAGTGTATGTCCATTTTTTTTCAAATGGAGCTAGTAAATGATCTGTGGGTAATTTAACTGAATTTCCTATTTTGAGGGAGATGTAAAGTCAAATTTTAAAAAAAAATTTATTTTATTGGTACATTTTAGGTATACAGTATAATGACATTCATCATTGGAAATTTGCACTTTTACATAATCTCTCTTGGTTCTAATTTTCTCCCCATTCCCCTGCCCTCCCTTCAACCCCTCTGCCCCTCCCTATTTACAAAGAATTTGTTTCCACTTTTCATTTCCTCATATTAATTCCATTCCTTTCTTTCCTTTCCCCTACCCCTCGCAATTCCCCTTCCTTTTGCCCCTTTTCTTCTTATTTCACATTATCTATTATACCTTTCAGTCCTTATTTACACTTTGAATTTCTCACACTAGAGAAACTATTTGGAATTTACACATATGTATCCTATTTATTTCACTTAAGAGTATCGCCTCAATGTACATCCATTTAGCTCTAAATGTCTCTAATTTCTCATTTTTTATGGCTGAGTAGTACCCCATTTTATAAAAACCCCCCACATTTTCTTTATCCAATCTCCAGTTGATGGGCAATTGGGCTGCTTCCAAGTTTTAGCTATTACAAACTGTGCTGCTATGAACATGGGTGCACATATATCACTGTGGTATGATTCTTTTAATTC